GCGGAGCTCGCTCGCCGCGGTGCCAGCGTGCGCACTCCAAGCAGAGAAAAGAGTTTCCCCATATGGGCACTCAGAATTCGAATGAAAAAAGGAAAGTCAACAAAAGAACACCTCTTGCAAGCGCGCGGGCGCTGGAAACGTCGGGCGTCCGTCTCCTTTGTGTTTGCCCGATGTTTGGTCCAACGTCGCTGCAGTCATTCGACGTCGCTTTCAGGTGAGAGACGAGGAGCGTGGCGAGTGAGTTGCCAAGTCTTGAACCATGTCTTGAAAGATAAGGCCAGGAGAGGGCGATTTTGGCGCTAGGGTGGCTATCTGTGGGGCACCCTTCCGAGCTGCGGTCAAGGGGTATGCGGAATGCGTCATGGGGAGATGGTCCTCAGAATGCATGACCTCACCATGTGATGAAGGTGGCATGCGGAATGAAAATGGCTCCTGAATAGTGACGATGAATGTGATGATAGATGCGAACATATGCGGATGTGTTGGGTGGTTTTGGTTCGGGTGGACGCTTTTGGGCCGGGCAGGGTTTGCGGTTGCAGAGCTGCAGCTCGATCGAGCATGAGCTTGCGATGAAGTACTCGTATTTTGGGTTTGTCCGACAGTTTGTCCTAAAACCTGCAATGTAACAGTCGGTGAACAATTATAACTAATTATTCTTGAAGGCCTTTACTAACAATCATCATCCACTGTTATCTCTAACAGTCTAGGAACCAAATGATTAGTAAGAGGGGGAGCTCCCTTGAAGAAGCGCGAGATATCCTGCACCCAATTACTGGAAGCTAACTAGTAGCTAGTAGCGAACTTCTCCCTTACTTAATTCAGCAGGCGCCTACTTAAGTAGGTAAGGAAGCAGGGCCGCGGGCTAAAAAAGAATAGGATAGACCCAACTCATATCCAAAAAGGGATCCGGAGTTCAAAGAACTGGTGGATAAAGTTCATTCGGCGGTTCACGAGGATTGTGGGAGCAAGGTGCATAGTGCTGGGACAACTGGGATTCTTTCGAGAGATCAACGACTTGGTGATTTGGTATCCAGCGGAATTGCGGCTAAGAACAGGTCAGGAGTCGGTTAGGAGATACTAAGACGCCTATGCCTATGCAAGTTCAGTGTACGTGTCAGCTTTGGATACGTCATTCACACTGGCACCGCTGGCATAAAAGATCATAAATGGTGAGCGTTCTTTGGTGAGGTGTACCCAGTGAATTGGGCTACGCACCGCGACGAAGGGAAATTCTGATTTCGAGTTGTTGCATGGTTTGTGTTGTTTGGAATGTTTGATGATGGCAGCGTTGGACACCAAAAGAACATGAGAGTCGCTTTGCCCGTTGTTGGATGCAATCACCTTCTCAGCACGTTGACTGCCCTCTCCCGAACATAGCTACCACGTTGCGGATGGAAAGACGGACCTCAATCCACATGTCTAAAGCGATTGTTGTTGGTAGGGCAGAAACCAAAAGAAACATCGGCACGCGCCTTCGAGGAGGCAGGATCGTTCAACCAATTGAAAGATGCTGAAATCCACAAATTATTTGTACTTGCACCATGCTGTTTGGGTGTCCTGGCTGGAGATCCCAACACGCAGTGTAGGGTAGTCCATTGGACACCCAGACAGGATGACCCAAGTATACCATACAGGTCAATGACCTGATTTCACTGGAGTTGGTCATACATGGTCATACAAAAACACAACTCGTTTGGAGGTCAAAGAGCAGGTTGGGTCTTGGGTCCCTACTGGACGAACGTAGGGAGAAAGACTTGGCATATAAAGACTTGCCATCCAACTCCCGGTCACCACCTGCAACTTGGGAACCAACTCCCCATGGGTCAAGCATATGGCGGGCCCATCCTTTCCACCCGCAGGTGATCCCGGTGAAGTTGGCAGCTCTGCAACTCTTCCGGGACCAGCGAGTTGGGTGCGAACATCGGACGAACTGCACACGAACTGCCTTCGATCTTGGTGCTTGAGGTTAGCTGATTACGTTTAGGAATCTTATATTGCAATGAAGGGGTGGCCAGTTGTAGCTGCATGTCTGGCATGTTGATGCAATTTGCTATTGCGATGTGACACACAGATAAGTGAATTTTTGTGTTTGCTTCCTTCCTGAACCTTCCAGCAGTGCAGAATTCTTGCCTTTTCATCCATATAACTGGCCAAACAGCAGAAGTCTTGCGGAAGTTGGAAGAATCAGCTATGACACCTTCTGCAAAGCCGAAGTTGGTTTCCTTTGCAAAGCCGAACCTCCGAACTTCCCAGTCACAGGACTCTGGAAAGTTTGCCCCACGATTCCAAGGAGTTGGTGGATACGTTCGTAGCTTCTTGTTACTATAGTCGTAATGCCAGGAGCGCCCCGTTCGTAGCGTCCTGTTACTAGTAGCGATGCACCTTACTAGTAGCAGAGAAGTGGGCCCTTCAATTTGTCCTATTCTTTTTGCCGGGGCAAACCTTCGTATTTTTCTTCATGTCCCCAAACCTTCCGCCATGGAACGACTCGTGACCGGGCCGCCGGGCCACCTTGGGGAGGTGAACATGTGACCGGGCAGGACACCTTCGAAAACATTGATCCGGCCGTCACCGTTGAAGAGGCGACACCGAAGAGAGCTGACCGGTTGGGGGGAGGAAGAACGGGGGATGAAGAGCTGACAGCCTTGGCCACACCTTAAACCTCCTTAGGTGTTGAAGGTCTCGAAGATACTTAGGTAGGGTGATTCGGGGCTCGGAGCTTGCTTGAGGCAGTTGAGAGTTGCGCCAACAACTCTCCGTAAAACCGTCCGGATGATGGTTTGGAGGATTTTTGCTTGCATGTTGGACACTAGGAGCCACCCCCACAATCAACAAGTTATCATATGTTGATTGATATTGAGTGCGTGCTATGTTTTGGGTATTTGGCCTTTTGACTCACACGGGCTACCATGACATGGGCGACCAATCACTCGGTACCGAGGTGCAGCACGCGCTGGACGTGCTCATCGGCCCGGTGATGTCCTGCCTGGGCGACTCCAACGTGCGCTTGCACGCCGCGGGGCCCGGCGTTCGTTCGCGGCGGCTTCGTTCGTAGGATAAGAAGGGGAGAGAAGGGGAGAGAAGGGGTGGGAGGGGTCCTGGTTCAGATGGGTACGGACTCAGAGAATGCGTGTAGAAAGGAGGTGAATCAGAGTCAGAACATCCCGAAAAAGAGCTGGATTGAAAGGGTGGTACTTCGAGGTAGTCTTTAGAGCTATAGTCCTAGTTCTAGTGCTTGCACATGCTTGCACACCAAGCTTACACCATTTCATCGTCTTTTGGAGACTGCATCGAGACCGCAAAACCTGGTGATCTGCCCTCTGCCATTTCATCTTCGTCTTCGCCACTGCCCGCGGGGGCGGTCCGACACCTTTTTGGGGCCACCCGTTGGGCATGCTTTGCACTTGGATGCACTTGGCCGATCAACAGACCGACCGCGTCATTGCTGTGACAGGTCGACCGGTCTGCCCAAGCTTCATAAGCACTGAGAAAGCCTTTTCGACCACTGAGAAAAACCGTTTGAGACCAAGCACGCCACGCCACGCCGCTCTGGTGATTGGTTTCTTTTTCGTGACCGAACGGATTTTTCACTCTGAGGAGTCTGCGCAGAGCAACTTGGTCTTCGCCCGTCCCTGGGACTCAAACCGGTGGCTTTGGGAGAGATGACGGTGGAGGCTTGCCACAGAATGCCCAAACAACCCATGTATGGAAACAGCTTACAACCACCCCAGTGTATGCAAATCATCCATGAATGGGTAATTTGAACATGTTGGAACGGTTTTTTCACCGGTGGCCGTGGTTTGCCAGAAAACCTACCAGCACCTGACTAGTCACCTGACTAGCCCCGACTTCATACAGGCACGACCAGTGCCAACTGGTGTACGTGACATCACGAAGTCCAACGGACGGGGCGTTCGCAGATCACACCGGGAGCCGTTGATGCTGAACATGGGTTTCATGGTGGTGCGTCTAGCTGCTCCATCAGCAGAACACCGTTTCCTGGGTGGATGCATTGGTGCCGTTCTTCATGGGAATGGTACATGTTTGACCCTTCTAGTTGGGCCACTCTAGTTGGTAGTTTGGAGCTTTTTGTTCACCTTCACTGCACAACCGGCCACAACGCCAAGGATACCTCCTGGGCGACAAGCTCCTACATCGCCTACGAGCCTTTCTGGAGCCGAAGCGTGCTGCCGACCGTCCGTGCATCGTTCGATCCATCGTTCGATCTGCGAGCGCTGAAGGCGTTGCGAGCGCGGTTTGGAAGTTCCATGACTCGCGGCTTCGCGTGACACCCACCACGGGTGGTGGCGCTTCGCGTCCCCACGACACACTGTGGTTGGCTTCCATGACTCGGTACCGGAGACACGTGGCTTCAAAGCTGAGCCAGAGTCCGACAGAACCCTTGTGACAGCAACGGTATGTCTTTTTCTGAGCTGTTGGTCCTAATATGTCCAAAAGGCTCACCTTACGACAGGCGTATACACGCCGCGAAACGAACATCGAATGCCTGGAATTTGCATGGACTTGGTGCCAACGGTGCCAACAGTTGTAGTAACAGCAGCACCTGAAGCAGAGAAGGAAATGCATTCGAACATATTGGAACCAGTTTGTATTCGCATGGAATGGGCCACCCACTAAAACCTTGCCAAATAGGACAAACGGACAAGGTGAATTTCTGCTTCAGCCCGGCAGAAAGAAAATGGGGTTCTCCAAAGTTCTTATTTTGCAATGTGCTCCAAGTCTTGATTTAGACCCCCCAAATCAATAGAACAGTGTATATAAATCCTCACTCAAAATGTGTTGGGGTCCACTGTGGTGCATTTGCAGCAATTAGCAGGACATAGCAAGACCTTGTTCTCGAGTTTGGACCCGGCATTCTGAACCAAGTACTTGTCATCCTGCAAGGATGATGCTTCTGTGGGATTCTTTTTCGCTTCAGCCAAACCTCATTGACCTGGAAGCTAGGGCAGTAGCTCGTCGTCCGCTCCACTTGCCGCGCGATGGCGCGGCTATGGCCAGCGCTGGTTCTGGCATTGCTGGTGCTAAGAGGACGGGAACCAGCCTCACAGGAAGGGAAGGGAATCCCCCCGACAGATTCTCTTCAGGTCTCCATTTATAGATCAAGGGCCATGTCGAAGAATCAAGATCGGATGTACTGATGTACCGCAGATGTCTTTCATCCCTCACTTCATGTTGATCTTTAAAAAAAACGATTGGAGTCTAGCCTGGGTGGCTGTTAAGGGGGATTTTGTTTCCCCCAGCTACTCAGCAACAGACTCTACTCAACAGACTGAGCCTGCCAGCTTGTCTGGTCAACTCAACCTGTGATTGATCAGTGACATGCCTTCCCCCAGCTTCTCAACCTGCCAGCTTTTCAACTCAACCTGAGTCCTCCCAGTTTTTTCTGACTTAGTCCGGAAATGAGGACGTGAGTCGTTCCAAATTTTCACGACGTTTAAAATCAATTTTCATTTCATTTCTCGGTTTATTTATTTTGAAAAGTCCAGGCATTAAGTTTAATAATAGTTGGGTGCAAGTTAGTTTCCCGTCGTGATTTACCCAAGTCTTGACATGGATAAATCACGACGGGAATAGGAAGCTTTTGATTTCTCAGTCATTGTTGTCACCGCAGCTGTCTTTGTCATTGTCACCGCAGCTGTCCTTGTCAGTCATTGTCACCGCAGCCGTCCTTGCCTGGTGCCAGTCACCGTCATTTTGTGCTTGGACCTCAGCTACATCCCCTCTTGGCCATCATTGGCATCCATTAAGTATTGATGATCAGGCCGGATGGATCTACACGAAGCCATCGAGAAGGTCGAAAAGTGTGTGGTCAGCTTGGTCAGGACGCACCCGTTGGACGCACGCATTGGACACACACATTCCTTAATTCGACACCTCCAGGAAGAAAATCAACGTGACCTTGGATACCTCGATCCAGCTGGTGGAGTCCATGATGAAGCGAGACATCACCGAAGATGAGGACAATTGTCATGTATAATTTATTATGTTAGTTTATTATTTTTGAAATTGTCACTGACCTCCATGTACTGCTCTGTTCGTCTCTGACCTCAATTGCCAGGCCATGCAGGTGTTCCAGACTTTGAGCATCTCCATGAAACTCATTGAGAAGCCTCCTCAGGCCAGATATTCATTCCTGTCATTCCCGTCAGTTGATGTCATGGAATTCCAATGTCAGGGCGAAGACCAGGACCCTCCAGGACCAGGACTGCAAAACAAGCAGAACGGTTACGCTGAAGCTTGCTAAGTGGATGTGACAATAATAATACAGTGATTATATAGTTTCATTTGACAGGAGTTACGGTCGCGGCGCTTTGCAAAGAGTGTCAGTGACTGAATAATAACAAGCGTTCTGTAAGTTGCCATGGCCAGATTCCATCAGAGCCACCTTGATGCCAAGGCGTGTTCAACATAGCCGATTCTGACGAGCACGACTGTTCTGCCCCGTCCTCCTCCTCACAAAGGCCGGCTTGACTCTTCGGCCACTTGCTGTCATTGACTCTGGAGTGCCTTGATTTTGTCATTGTCATTCACCACATGCCAAAATGTTTGAGGCTGAACGATGTTTGGCAATGACATTCAAGACATTCAGTCATTCAAGCAGTGCAAGTGGCACTCAATGACATTTTAATGACACACACTGACTGTTCTTCCACGATGAACTAGCCTTTTTGCACAGTTCCTCCGAGTGAAGCCATGTCGTCAACGCCGGCACAGCGAGTTATCATTTTTGGATGGGCTAGGAAACCCAAGCCCCGATACGACAAGAAGGCTCAGGCGTGAATATCGTCATCATTGAGTTTTTGTATGTTTCAATTTAATTGTTTGCGTTTGTTTGAGACCAACTTTCAACAAAGCAGCATCAGCATCATCTGATGAGGTTGATGTGATCCTTGATTGCGGATGGAGAATCTCGAGGCCACATCATTACTGGAAAAAGTTCAAGGATCACTGGACCACAATCGACATAGACCTCGCAGAACACCTCTTCCACACCAAAGATGGCCACTATTGGGGCAGCCGTCACAGCGGCTGCGCCCATCACGAAACGCAGCGTGGAGTGACTGGGCTTAACGATCTTAAACGCACGTTGAAATTGAAAGAAATTGTCCTGGGAGTGTTCTTGCCCGTGGCTTCAGCTTGTGTTGCAGGTCTACAGCCACCGACGATGCAAAGATGTCGTGCAGATGATCGTGAACTTATTCAACGAGAATATCCTGAGGATCTTCCTTTCATGCAATGCTGGGTATCATCGCACTGGAGCCTTTGTGATGCTGATCGCAAGCATCTTGTGGGCGCTTTGGACACTGTCAGTGTCGTCATTGTCAGTCATTGTCAACTTTGTGCTGTTACTGTTTGTGATCAGATTGTCACTTCTTTGGCGACCCGTTAGACAAGCCGTTGAGGAAACCGGAGTGTGGGTATGCCCTGTCATCGTCTCCCTCTCAGATAGTTGGACCCATGACATCCAGGACTGTGAGAGCTTCTTGTCACCTTCCAGTGACTCTTTTCAGACACGGTACCTTGAAGGCAAAATTTAATGTCTTAAAACCAGACATAGGTTGAGTTGACAGCTGACGGGTTGAGAGTTGTCTAGCCAAGGCAAATGGCATTTTATCGGAACGCCGTGCTCAGGGTCATTGGCCGGAACCGGGACCTGCAAAATGAAGCACGCTACGGGTACTGGTTGGGGGCATGCCTTGATAACTTCTGGAAAGAAAACACCTGCAAGCCTTGGCCGTCGCTTGGCTTGTGTGCAGTTGAAGTTGTCTGAACTTCTTTGCGAACTTCATTGCCATGTAATCATAACAAAATGCAGCTAAGGTTGGTTCGTGACGATGCTGACAAGACAGAGGACAAGGCTGAGGTTTATGAGGTCGAGTCAGATGATGATGACCAGCCAGTGCCACCGTCTAAGGCACGACGAGTACAGGCGGCATCCACCAGTTCCACCAGCCCACCAGTTGCGTTCCACCGTGGAGAGCTCACCCACCTCCGCCTCAAGTTTCCCCACACATCGGCGATGAGGAGGCTGTCTTGACATCCCACAATATGCCAAATGGCCTTCGCACCATCCTGCCCTCAGGTTGCATTCGTCGTGACAATGACAGTATCATAATATTTATGACATAATTTTATGACAGTCGGCGTAATAACAATTACACTTGCCCCAAAAAATAGGCGCGTCAGTGACTCATTCAAGTCAACTAAGGCACGAGGTTTTTGCAGACGCACAGCTTGATGAGACTGGGCCGGCCTTACGCATTGTCGCGACGCTTCCAGTGGCCCGGCAACTAAAGTTTGCCGCGGCGTGCTTTCGTCAGTTGAAATATGGCATATATGGCGACAGGTTTCACAAATACATGTCGAACTGTATCTCCTGCGATGTCACCTGGTTCCTCGGCAATCCTCAGCCCGTGGGTTGAAAAATGCGGTGCCTCATTGCTCGTTAATTGACATTGATTTATTTTGTCATTGTCTTGATTTGTTATTGTTCTCAGCTTCAAATTCTCATTGACTTGTCATTGTCTCCATTTGCTCTTCATTAGAATGTTGCTTGTTTTGTGCAAGTGTTTGTTGCAATCAATGATTCAAAGCACGGTAGGCCAAGCGGAGATCCTTGACAACAAGGCTGGCAGGCGTCCCAGGAAATGAATGCCTGGAGTGAACCGACGATCTTGCCAGGCCATCAGATTCGTCTGCCCGCCTTTTGGACTAGCCGAGCCGCTAGCCCAGGAGAACTTCAGTCATGAGTTTTTGCTACAGGAGAGTCAATGTCAAGGGTATGCAGCCTTTATTATGTCAATTTATGCATATTTATGCTCAAGTCAGTGACGTGCGGCGGGGGGGGCACAGACTGATCAGCGTTTTGTTTCTGAAGCACGGGCGGCGGAAACCATGCCCGCCATCTTGATGTCCGATTGCGCCGGATTGGAGCCTTTGAAAGAGCTTTGCAGGTGTGAGTTGGGTTTGAGACACAACGAAAATATGATTTAGTATAAGAGTCCTTGCCAGTCAGTCACCCAGTCGCATTGCGTCAAAGGGTTCTTAGCGTCTCTCCTGCCAGGAAAGCAAACGTGCCATCAACCTTGGCCTATGCCTCGGAATCGGAGCCAGCTCTCCGCAACCGCATCGCGAACTTGCACCCGAAAGCCTTTGTTTCCGATGATGCCAGGAAACACCTGCCAGGACATGTTCGGAAGAAGGTCAAGGGCCAGACAAACCCCGTTGTGTACTCGGCAGGTGCGCCCTGCCAACCCTATAGCAAGATAGGCAGACGTGGAGGAGAAAGCGATGAACGAAGCGATCTACAAATGACCGTTCCTTGCCACAACTTAACTTAATGAAACAATTGAAATTGACGATTGGTCAGCGCCGTGTCGCTGCTGTAAGCTTGCCTAGGCTGCCAATAGGATCGCAAAGATCCAGCCGGATGCCTTCTTGCTCGAGCAGGTGCCCGACATGTCAAGCACAAGAAGTTCTTTGGCAACGTCTTGGCCAAGTAACTCGACTGAACCACTCAGTCCTATTTAAATTCATTCGTAATGTCTAGTCATTGATTACCAAAAGTCTGAGGCTGCGGATGCCTGGCTACACCGTGAAGCACAAGGACTTTGCGTCCAGTTAGTTGCAGTTGTTGGGTCACGTTGTTGAGTCCGTCAGTGATTTTCCTAAGTTGAGCTGCGTCAGGTCTTGAATTCTCTTTGTCACGGAATGGCCACTGAGCGGAAGAGACTTTGGATTGTGGGTTACAAGACCAAGAAAGCTAAACGTCATTGACCCAGCTTGCCTAAGAACTTGGCCAGTCCAGTCAATTGGCTCCTTTTTTGATGAGGCGCCTTCAAATTCCCGCTGCCCTCCAAGAAGAAAGTGTCCGTGCGGCAGCTTATTGCAAAGCTGCTTGTCACTGACCATTAGGTCCGACGAGTCTAGCATGAGTTAAAACATCAAACATCTGCGCCTAGCCATCCACACAGTAATTTGCTCAGGAACAGCCCGGATGCGCGCAAGGGTCCTCCCACTTGCAAAAC